GGGGTTTCACCATGTTGACCAGGATGGTCTCGATCTCTTGACCTCGTGATCCACCCGCCTCAGCCTCCCAAAGTGCTGGGATTACAGGCTTGAGCCACCGCGCCCGGCTGATCTCGATCTCTTGACCTCGTGATCCACCCGCCTCGGCCTCCCAAAGTGCTGGGATTACAGGCTTGAGCCACCGCGCCCCGCCAAGATCTTGTTTATGTAATCAATGGCATGTAATTTTACTAATAAAAGTACAGTATCTCTCAAAAGGGTCAAAGTTAGTTGTGTTAAACAGTTTATGAAAATATTTATGACTTCAGTGCCAAAGTGATCAAAGTGATCTAAAGCTGACTCACCTTTCGTATTGTCTATCTCGTGGTAATGAAGCACTCCAATGTCGAAAGTCTATGATTAACATAAGTAAAAGGAGACAGGATATGAAGAAGAGTCCCAGGAATGCCACCCGCTGACGGAGAAATGGACTCACTGTGGGCACAGTGAAGTACCAGGAGGCTGGGCAGAGGTAGGAAAAACTGATCCTGAAATTAGACAAACATTAGTAAGTCTGAAACATGTCTACAATTGAGCGCTTAAAAATCATTTTTAAATTGGATAAAAGGCCCCCTAATAAAGGCAAAAATCCATGCCAACAGAAGTCTAAATGTTCTTTTAGTCTTTAATTTTAGAAGTTGTTCATGGTGCTTCTACTATATGAATCAGAAAACTCTTATCTGCCCTTTTTCCAAACTGCACTTTTGTGTGCAATTTAAAGACTTAATCTCATGTTCATGAAAAGATCACAGTCTCCCTGGGCAACCTCATAACATTGGAGAATCAGAGCAACTACAATATTCCCAACAAAGAATGCTGTAAGAAACGGGATGGTCAGAAAATTTATTTAACTGATTTTAAAAATGTTTTACCAGATTATACATGTGCATATTAAAAGACAATCAAACAGTTTAATAGGATATATTGTATAGTGAAAAGTGACTCTTGCCCTGACCCCTCACAATCTCTCTCAGAGGCAACCATTGCTACCCAGTTGCTTGTGTGTGTGTGTGTGTGTGTGTTTTTTTTTTTAGACAGAGTCTTGCTCTGTTGCCCAGGCTGGAGTGCAGTGGTGTGATCTTGGCTCACTGCAACCTCTGCCTCCTGCATTCAAGTGCTTCTCTTCCCTCAGCCTTCCGAGTAGCTGGGATTATAGGTGCCTACCACCACGCCCGGCTAATTTTTGTATTAGTAGAGACGGGGTTTCACCACGTTGGCCAGGCTGGTCTCGAACTCCTGACCTCAGGTGATCCACCCACCTCTGCCTCCCAAAGTGCTGGAATTACAGGCATGAGCCACAGCGCCAGGCTGTTGCTGTGTATTTTTCCAAGGATATTCTACAGATACACAAGCATACATATACACCAATAAATTTGCAGTTATATCTGTGTGTGTGTGTGTGTCCATTCCCTTGGTTTTACACAAATGGTAGTCCACCATACCTACTGTTCTGCATCTTTCCCCCACTTTGATAATTGTCCCTTATTGGTACATGCAGATCC